ATCCATCCATCCATCCATCCATCCATCCATCCATCCATCCATCCATCCATCCATCCATCCATCCATCTCAACATAATCTCATTTATCTGAGATCTTGAGGGTCCTTTGCAGTATCTTAGTTGTTCTTAGGACCACGTTCTTCTGCATTGAGATGTCTGATGTCTTATGTTCCAGTTCTGATGATCATGGGCACTACAGTTCCACATTTCCCAAAAGGGATTACTAAAGAATTTCAGATTCTGATACAAATGGAAAATAAATACTTTTTTTAATATATTATGGTATCTCTGAAATGTATAAAATTGCATAAAAATACTGCTGGTGAAGATTCATCCAGGTCATAGTCATTCCAAAAAAGTTAAAAAACAATTCAGTTCAGTTTATTTATATATCAGCAATTCATAACACGTCATTTACAGTTCACCAGATCATACAGTCAAATTGATTCAAAGTTTTCTATCTAAGGAAAACCAGTTGATTGCATGGACTCTTTGACTTGAAGGCAATCTCTCAAACTAAGCATGCTTGTAGTGACAGTGAAGAGGAAAAACTCCCTTATAACAGGAAGAAACCTCCAGCAGAACCAGAGTCAGTGTGAGCGGCCATCTGCTGAGGCCAAATGGCACAAAACAATCCACTAGACTTTGTTTTCCAAGTTTGAAGACATTTCGCTTCCTATCCTGCAAGCTTTTTCAATTCAAAATGCCAGAAATAGCGTTGAGTTCCAAGTTTCATAGAGTAGCCTGACAAAGTCTTGTTATGGCTTAAAAAATATGCAAATTGAATCAAAAGAAGAGGTCTACCTCTTAGTAATGGGGAGTCATTGAGGTTGTTGTTTACTTTAAAATATTGTGCACAAGGCTCAGTTTTGATTGGATGGGAAGGTACTCTGTCTAACATGTCCTGGCTTGGTTTGGCTGCTGCTTAAACTGAAGCAGCATATAAAACTGAAGCAATATACACCTTTTAATAAATGTTTGAGCACTTTTTATTTCGCTGTTTATATTTTATTTATGCTACATCCAAATTTCTACTGTGGAAACAAACACCCTTACATGTTAACAGTTCTTTTATTGTGGTTTAGGTGATGAGGAGACTCGGCCATCTGGCTGTGCCAATCTGTGCATCACTATGTGTGTGTGTGTTTGTGTGTGTGCCTGCTGAGCGGCCTGCACTTGTTTGAACAGTGTGGAAAGACAGAGAGCCGAAGAGTCAGGCCTATAGGATGAGTTCTCCGAGTGCAGCAGAGTAATCATCTTTGGAGCCGGAGCCAGATGTTACTGTTGTCATGTGGCTCTACTCCCGGCCTGTTCCCTCAAAACTTGGAAATCTTTTGAGGACACACAAAGAAAACCAGTTTTCATTTGAACTAGTTGAGGGATCACTGAGATATAAAAACGTTCTTAGCAGATTTATGTTCTTTATTAAACTTTTTTTTAACTGTGTGGACTGGAGGATTACATACCTCTGGGCCTGAATAACTGCATGCAGATCATGGCTTCTGAAAGATTTAAAGCCACCTGGCAGTAAAACCTAACATGCCAGCTTTTCTTTAGAACTAAAATTGGGGGAAATGTAATTTAGTTTGAGTTTAACAGTGGCCACCAGGCCTATGTGTCTAAGGAAATGTTCTGCATATCTTTCATGTTGTAAATGTAACCAGTGGCAGACTGTAAAAAGGTCTTACAGAGGCTTCAGCCTAAGGCCAAGGGTTGGCCACAATATTTCAAAAATATTTTTATGAAAAATATATTTTTTGCAGTTTTTTATGTAGTTATTTACACATTTTGGCAAAGCTTTGGTGTTGTTCAGTTCGCCTCTTTGCATTTTTAGTTATAATTTTTCCTGGTCTGAAAGTCAAGCTGTCTGCAAAGGATTGTTTGTTATCAACCACACATTAAGTTTTGCTGGTGCGTTGACATTTACGGCAACTTTGAGACCTGAGGTTCATAGAAAACAATGAAAGTCTACAACTAAGGAGGATTAAAAGGGGGATGTCCAAATTTATTAAAAGACCGTATTTTTAAAACAACCGCAACATTAAAAAATGTACAGAAACATGTATTAAAAATGTACTAAAAGCCAGTGAGTACAGGGTGTAGTGGTAGTGTAAAGCCCATGGTAGAGGCTACTTGGCATGGGGTTCAGATTAGGGTGAGTGGTGTTCAATAAAGGAATTTGTACTGCAACTGGAGGGTTGCCGGTTGAAACCCCAGCTTTTCCCATCTCAGTTATCAAGTCATGGGGCAAGGCTCTTCATCGACATTCCGCAGAGAGCCCATAGATGCCTGTTAGATCCAGCCTCCACATGGCAGCTGTGGCTACAGTGTAGCTTGCCACTATGATGGAATGTAATCTAAAGCTCTTTGGTGTTCCCGGACCTGATGAAGCGCTTTATAAATACAGACCATTCACCATTATGGCTATGAACAAATAGGATCAAGAGGACTCTTAAAGATGCAGCTTCCCTGTCTGTTAAGTGCTTATAAGTCAGCCATCAAACTTTAAAATCAATTGTAAAATAAAGAGTGAGCAAGCGAGAGGCTATCGCTGCTCACATTTTTTGTTCCTGTAGGAAGATGAGCTGCAATTAAGGCGATATAGAAAAGAAAGAAGAGAAAAAAGACGACTTTTCTATGGCAAAGTCTCTGAAGCT